TGTTGAGTATAATCTAAAATTGTCTTTAGAGGCAGTTGTCTGATGAAGCATAATACCGTAAAGTATGGATGTATTCTAGGTTTGTTTATAGTCTACTTCCTTTCTTGGAAAAATGTGAGTCTAAAATGTCGTATCGTAATAAGTGAAAAGTATAAGTGCTAAAAGGTTAAAAGTTAAAGAGCAATATTTATTAACCTACTGCGTAATAACTAACTTAGCGAAATCCAGAAACCTTAACAGTTATTTAAATTGTTTAAAACATTTATACGTTCCTACAAACTAATATTTTATTTAGGATGGGCGTATAAATGAAAGAACGAATGGACGAACGACAAAATGATCGTATATGGATTCCGTTTTTCCTTTTGGAACCCTAAAATGGAAATCGGAAAAGGGCTTAAAACTTAGGATTCAACTAAAAAGTAAGAGCTTTACAAAGTAAATGCTGTGTCTTCACTGTTTTCACGCGAACAATTTATGAATTTATGTAAATCCTAATCCATTAAAGATATTACTTTAAAGAAAGACTTATTTGGTCTCCGGATTATGGTTATCCTTTATAATGGTGGCACTTTGGTGTGGTACTTATAATTTAACGTAAAATCTACATCAATATAATAAAATGAGACTCCTTCGGTCCGGTTAGTAAAAATAATACACGGTACGATGCTACACAATACAATTTAAAAATATCTTCTTTTTAAAATAAATATCTATACAGTATCTGGGGGAACGGCAGTGCCCCCGTCAAGTCTAGCATGCATTGTTTAAACACAGTATATTTCAAATTTCATTCAATTTGAACAAGTAGTTTAAGAATTATAACTAGCCAAAGTTTCTTAATTTTGTCACTCACTGACTGACCGATCATCAAAACTCTAAAGCACTTCTAGCAGACGTAGAAGCTTCAAATTTAGAATACAATTAGTGTTAAGTGTATAAATCAAGGAAAAACTAAAATATTTTGTAATTTCGGTGCAGTTTTTTAGATACACCGATACAGGCTTACAAAGTTACACTTGCAGTGGATGAATCAGGGTTTCTGTAATCCGTAGTTTGTATTCAATAAGTAAATGGCACCGGAAACTAAAAAAGTAGGACTATCTACAAAAGGAAATGAGATGCCATCAAAAACATAACTTGTAAAAAAAATCAAGTCTCGCATCTCAGTTCTTCTACCGTAAAAAGTTGTGAGATCCATGTAATACCAAGTCGGTTAATTTATTCAGTCCCTAATTAAGGGTCCTTCTGTCTCAAGTTATTACGTAATTAGCTAACCTAACCTAGTGACCATATCAGTATTAAAAATCTTTTACGTTTTAAATACATGGATTGACTTGGCAATCGTACTAACCAACCTAATTTAATATAATATGTATTACTTGTGAGAAACATTGTGTTTTCATGCGATGGCCAAGTCAATCTATTTTTTTTTTTATTACATGGATCTCACAACTTTTTACGGTAGAAGAACTGAGATGCGAGATTTGTTTTTTTTTTTTACAAGTTATGTTTTTAATGCCCTTAACATTTTACTATAATAAAACTTCAAAACGATAATTTTGAGCTTTGTGCTGCTCTCGACACATATGCAAAAAAAAATTTGGAAACGTTGCCTGATTTTGTGATTCACACAAAAAGTGAGAATGGATTTGAATGGGACTTTCATTATAGTGTTAAGCGGAGGCCAAATATACATAATCACGTTACCGTTTGAGTTTTTTTTTTAATTTTACTTAGGTCGAATTGTGTATTCATAATTGCTGATGATATATATATATATATATATATATATATATATTATTCATAGGTAAAATAACCGCTACCCTCAACCAGGGGGACAAGGCACTGGTGGATGACTGACAGGCAGAGGCCTAGGTATTTCATAAACCGCCGCACTCTAACTTTAGACCCACCCACACGGACTCACGAGTCGGTTGGCTACCCCAGCCCCGCAATTTATGGAACTTCGCCTCGATCTTATGAGACCTTATATTAGCAGCCTATTACAACTTCAGCTTCATGAGACGTTGATCTCTTTTGGTTCTAATACAACTCTGATTCTAATATGTACGAATATCGTTGTTAAAGAAAATCAAGCGAAAATCCTTTGCGAGAAAGTACATTAAGAACACCATTTTGCAGTAACAGTCACACTAGCGATCACAATACTATAAGTTGTCGGAACTTCAATAATGACTGAATAAAGAAAAAAGTACTTTTCAGTTTACCTGGCACTTATGTTTTTACTCTTAAAAATTAAGACGTAATGCCGCCGTAAATTTCGTTTGCCTCCACTAACTACTAACAATAGGTAAAACAGTAATATAGTACGAGTGTGCATATTACATGAGTAAGTTTTCCGGTGCTGGCACGACAGCTCGTTTGTAACACTTATGCTATAAAAAAAGAATTACATTAAAATTTTCTTTCACTATTTTACCACTGTTATAGATATGCTTCCACATCTGTAGTATATACTACTTAATAGAAAAAGTATAATTATAATTCGTTCACTTAAACACACAGTGGACTTAAAAATATTATTAGTCGAATTGAAAACTTCCTCCTTTTTTGAAGTCATTGAAAATGGAAGCGTAACTTGTGTTATTTAGCATCGTAGATGTAGTGTATATATATATATATATATATATATATATATATATATATATCGTACCCTCAGGGGAAGAAAAGCATAAGTAGTATTACTTTGAATTTTAGTTATTAATATGATTGAAAAGAGCGACTAAAGTTACATATGCTCATTTTTTTTCAGATTTTTATCATTAATTTTGGCGATTTTATGCTAGAAAACATAATTTATATCGTTTGACAGTTTAGATTTTTTAATTGTTAAATAACGGAATAAGTGAATATACGCAAAAATGTTGATCTTTGTTTAAACGTTATAACACTTATGATATTTGTATGTAAGATAAGTTATATAGACAAATAAAATAAATATGATAATGGTCTTTATCCGCTTTTTCTTTTTCTTCGCTACTTAATTACACGCGATTATGATGTTCATCCACGAATTAATAAATAGTTGAACATCATTATGTCTACTTACTTCTTTTAACTAGGAACATTTTATTAAATAAGAACGATTAATGCGTTACTTCGTTCGAAAAAAAATATATGTTATTCAAGTAAGTAATAATACGTCTATACAATTCTATAATATCGCGAGTAAACGTGAATAAGTCGGTGTGGGACGAGGGGCAGAGTGATATTCGCACTCACTCGCGGCATGTAACTCGGTAGTGTATGCTGCACAGAGTACTTTGAATATGGTATGCTGTAAGCTTAGAGCGTATGCATGTATGTTGGATACTGTCAGCATTGCACGTGTCGTTTACGAAATAATATTAACTAATGATATATTTTAAAAATAACGAATTTAATAACAAGTCACAAACGTAATAGTAGATCAAAAAAGATTCTGGGTTTATTAGGTAAGTAGTTGAACCGTTCTAAAGTAGATAGTATTTTAATTTGAATAAAAGTAGAGGTCTTACATTAACATTTTAATAGATTTGGTAAAACTTAGATCACATGTAACTGAGAGTGACCCTATTTTCATTTTCCAAAATTGGTCCTAAGCTCGGCATAGGCCCTAAGAACTTCTCGAAAGAAAAACTACCTACTACCTGACTGGAGAATCAAATAGAGTACCTCATGCACAGCCGGGCACAGTCGCGCTGCATTAGTAAACTGTAAGGACCTATTAAACGATTAGTCTTATATTTTATGAATACATATTAATGTGTTATCTTGTTTGGTCTTATGGATTTAGCCATAAAGTGGTACCTGCTTAAATAAGTAGAGGGTCACGTTGTTTCTGAAAGAGTACACGTAATATAATTACATACGTGACTGTACATGTACAGTCACGTATTTATGACTCATCCTGCAGCCGTGCTCAAAGCTTTTTACTATCAGAATGAAAATAATATAATTATAACTTAAAGTGCCTAAACAATTAAAATTCTACGAAACAGTGGTAGTAAACGTGAATGTGCCCGGCTGTGCATGAGGTACTTTATTCGATTCCCGGGTCATTGTAGTTTTAAGAAATTCTTAGAGACTGTGCTGTGTTTAGGATCAGTTTTGGCAAAAGGCTATAGGTTCGCTCTCAGTTACATGCGATTTAAGTTCTAACAAATCTGCCGAAATATTAATATAATAAATTTTTACTAGCTACAAACGAGAGAAAAGGCCTAAGGATATTATTTGTTATGTAATACTATAGTATTTTTTTTAGGTTGTAATGAGCAAAATCAATTAACTAACAACAACTCAGTGACACATGATAACTCTTACAATGAACCTTCTACGAGTCGCAGTTGTAGACGATCCTCGATAAATTATAGACTGAGTGTGTCATCAGATGAAGAGCCATTTTCGCCAGCAGTCTCCGAATATTTACCACATTCAGATGCAAGCCCTAGTTCCAGTCCTGTTCGAGATTTTAAAGATCCTATGACGTCATCGTTGTTGAAGGATCTAACTTACAGTTTTAACGAAGATGCTTCTTTATCAAGCGCATTTACAACCAAAAACCAGAACGATTACAATATTTTCATAGTTTCACCGACAGTTATTTTTTTACCAAGTCCTCAAAAGTCAATACCTACCACTAATACCATAACCACTAGACCAGAAATAGATAACATCTCCTATAAAAGACTGAACCAAGATGAAAACATCAACCAATATAAATTAATTTAGAAGATCCTTACATAGACGGTATTGCACCTTTGCCAAATGAAATTGTCCTAGAGTCGATATCAAATAACAACCACGAAGAAACAATTACTGCTCCAATTCTTCCATGTAGCTATACATCTGTCGCTTCAGTTAATATAACTAACCTCTCAACGCCTCCTATCATCTCAGAAAATAATATAGTCGTAGCTTCGGAAATAGAAGCTACTGTGTCTTAGCCATTATTAGTGACTAAGGGTAACCACAAGCCTAGAAAAAGACAAAGAATCATGGACACGTGGACAAAAGTAAAAACAAAGAAACTTCGAAATATAGGCGCACAGCTACAAAAATGTATGAGAAATCCTTGCGCCTGTAAGCTGAAGTGTTTTGAAACTGTTCAACATGAAGATAGACTGAACTTATTTGAATATTTTTGGGCTACAGGCTGTCATGAGACTCAGTGGCATTTTAATTTGAATATCACAGAAATTAAGGAACCTAAAGTTATTAAAGTTCAGAGACAACGGGAAAGAAATCGAACTTTGGTATATTATTTGCCAATGAAAAATAATGTAGGACACGTAACAAAACTCAAAGTTTGTAAAACAATTTTCTTAAATACGCTTGGTATTAAAGAAATAACTGTTTACACGGTCATTGATAAGTAGGTATAATAATGGTAAACAAATAACAGACCTACGGGGTAAGCACGCAAACCGTCCTCATAGAACAACAAATGCCACCGAGCAAAGTATTATACAACATATAAAAACATTCCCTTGTATAGAGTCTCACTGTTTACGGCAAAAAACAACCCGACAATATTTATCACAGGACTTGAATATTTCAAAAATGCACTGGTTATATAAAGTCAGGGTTTCAGAAAATGAAAACTATCAAATTATAAAAGTTGCAAGTGAATACCAATATAGTCAAATATATTACGCAATTTAACCTTTCACTTTTCAGACCAAAAAAATATATTTGTAAATTATGCAGTGAATATGAAAATGCAACGGAAGATGCTAAACTCCAACTCCAGCAGCAGAACGAAAGTCATATTAAAAATAAGAATATTGTTAGAGAAATAAGAAGGCAAAAGATTCAGCAGACCCAACATTAAAAACCGTATTGTATTTGATTTGGAGAAGGTACTAAGTCTGCTTCAGTTAAATGGGGGTATTTTCCATTATAAAAGAAAATACCCAGCATATAATTTTACTATATTTAATTTAATTTCACGACAGGGTTATTCTTTCTTATGGCATACACAAATTGCAAAAAGAGGTGCTAATGAAATCGCAAGTTACTTGTATAAATTTTTTGAAGCGGAAGCTTGTAGAAGCATAAAGTCTCTTTCGTTATACTCCGACAATCGTTCTGGCCAGAATAGAAATAGATATGATTTTTCGATGTATCTTTTTGTTTCACATACATTACACTTAGAAATTATTCACCGATGTGTGTGTCCTGTCTGTATAAGACACGACACACACAAAATGAAGGCGATTCAATACATGCCTGTATAGAAAAAAATATGAAAAATAAAACACAATATACACCCGATCAATTATATGAAATAATAATGAATGCGAAAATTCAAAATAAATTTATTGTTAATGAAATGACACAGGCTATTTTTTTACAATTATATGTTTTTTTTTTATAGGATAGGGTGACAAGCGAGCACATAGTCCACCTGATGGTAAGTGGTTGCTGTGGCCCATAGACATCTACATTTATCCTCGTTTGCGAATCAAAATGCAGATGCGTTGTCACCCGTGAGGACTAAGATGGAATGCCTCTTTTCCAGTAAAAAGGGTCTCCGGTTCTCTACACTCACCATACGTAGCACAGCGGTGTTAAGCTGCTATTTTACGCTGGTATTCTGTGAGAGCGTGGTCCTTCCCCAGTCGAGCCGACCCATTTGTGCTATAACTATACTACTAATATAGCTGCAGCAAGACTCTACCACGTATGAAAGTCTTAGGTAACATCTATTTTCTATTTAGAATTTTTGTGATAGTTAGGTGCTCGAATTGTCTAAGGGCGAATCACTGTTACTTTTATAGTTATTTTGTATATAGGTATAAGAACTTTAAAAGCAAATTAATACTATTTGTAGAAGTGCAAACTTTTGTTTTTATAAGTGGTATTTTTTTTGTTTATTTTGTTATGAGACTGATTTTACACTTTAAAATTGTAATACTTTTAAAGTAGTTTTATTACTAAAATAACTATTATTGCCTTAAATATTTTGATTGTGGTTGTAGAAATGCAAATATATTTTGTTTTGAAATATTTTTATAACTTTTAAAAAATATATAATTGGTTACGAAATATAAATGAGCCCTTTTTTGCTTTACCAATATTATTAACTGATTTTGTATCAACTCCAGATATACAAAAAATAAATTCATTTCATAGACTAAATAGAGTGGTATTATTGTTTACTAAAGTTCACCTATATAATATATAAATGAAATAAAATCGTAAGTTTAGGTTATTGTGTAAAAACAACAAATATTAAAAGGAAATAATGCAGTAAAAATATTTACGCTCTCCTAAAGTATACTGCTAATAAATTCAATAGAATTGTTAAAGGTTTTACTTTTATTACAGTAAGTTAATTGTAGGAGAAGATGTACATAAACGCTAATATTTATAACGGAGCATTCAAAGTTAATAACGAGTAGTAGCACAACATATTAATTTCCATATATTTATAAAATGATAAAACTAAATAATAAAGGAACATATTCATATTATGTTGTATTTTTTTATCTGTTTAGGGATGTATAAAACATAATTTTTCGTCTACAGAAAAAAAAGTTATAGGTATTTTAAGACTTTTTTGCTCTCCTGTAAAATTGCAATTTTCATCTTATGCTTTTTTTCCCCTGAGGGTACGATATATATATATATATATATATATTGTATTTTAAAAAAAATTCTACTTAAAATCTTTGTTAAAACATTTTATGGCTTCTAGTAGGTTTCAAACATAACACGACCTACGTAATATTTAAGACCTTTTTACTCATTCAAAGTGTGAAGGATTTTCGTAATAAAGTAATGAATTGAAATAAAACGTCTTCATCGATGCGTTAATGTCCACTGCATTTGCTGCCGGGAAGATTTGCTATACGAATAAACACCACTCTTGGCAAGCAGTGTATACCTAAGCAACAGTCATCAAATACCCAAATCAAGTCACCAAATACCTCTAACGATATTAACACGTAAAAATTGTCTCCAGATCTCTACACTCACCATATGAACTAGTAGGTTTAAGCTGCTATTTTACGTGGTATTTTGTGAGACCGTGGTCTTCCCTCGGTTGAGTTGACCTATTTTTGGTACAACCATAACTAAGCTGAATGGTATGTCACGTGTGATTAATGAACTATCTTTATTAACTCAAATACAACGCACATAATTCTATAAAAAAATTTGGAGATTGAAAAAAGTAATCACATATTATAGGTTTGTAAATACATTGTGTATCATATATTGGACGATAAACGATTGAAACAATATAATAAAAGTAAATTGAGTCTATAAGTCTCTCAGAGTGTATAATAAGCTAACTGAGGCTCAGACTATTTTTAAATTTAAAGCATTTGAATTGACGATAGTATAAAGCAATCATTTTCAACTGCAAAATACTCTGAAGGGAAAATTTTTAATTATTAAAGTATTTCAAATAAATGTTTTGTAAGCCGTGTATTCAATGTGATAAATGATAACAAAAAATAACGCTATGAACCGTATGTTTGCCTACATTTTTAAGCGATATATTTTTATTATTAATAGATAAAAGAAAAGCCTTGTTAAACGCTTGAAATGTTAAGAATTTTTTTATCAGTGCAGAGTCATGTATATACATGATCGTATTAAAAGTAAGCCTTCATAATTCGGAATCTAACACACTGTGATACTAATGGCACTAAATATGAAGTTTTTGTTTTTATTTTCCTTTTATACGGTTGTGTATTTTGAATTCGTAAGTGGAGTAGAAAGTGTGTACAGAACTTATGAGAATTATAAATATATTAAAGTTCAAGGAGATAGAACGGGAATAGAAATATTAAAATTTGCACTGCAAGACGAAGATGCAAGTTTTTTTTTTCATTTTTATATGCAATGTGTAAGATAGAATTTAATACTTATAATTTGAATATATTTTTAGGACTCATTGGTTTATAGTGACACTCGAGATGGAGCCGAAATTGTTGTGGCACCAGATTCAGAAATACTTTTTTATGAAATAATTGCTACAGAGAATTTGAATGCTACAGTCTTACATAACGATATTTCAGAGTAAGTTTTAAATCCAATTTTAGGGGGTTACTAAGAATGGTTTAGGTATATCTTTGGGTGGTAAGAATGTAATTTATACCATTTTTTGTATGCTGCCTTGTTATTTGTAAAAGAACATAATATTATAATTTTAATATTAAAATTTTAATTTTATAGTATAATTTATATGGAAAAGTCGAGGCGCCAACGTAATCGCGAATTTTCATGGACTGCTTATTACGACATTGATGATGTAAGTAGCTTCATATTCAACGGTCTTACTAAACGTAGTGATTATATTCTCTTTGGTTCTTAGTTCTTACTTCTTCATAAGACAGCTATTTACTACATTACAGAATTTGTATGATATTAATGCTTGTCGCGTGATTTGCCTATTTTATTATATATTCTTACAATTACCTAATTATGTCAATATCAAGTTACATATTGTATTGTTGTTAATGTACACAGGCACACATTGTACCCTGGGCAAATTCTAGCGGTGGTTAAAAAAAACCGTCTTAACGAATATCGACCTACATACAGGTCTGTACAAGATATAAGTTAAGATACAACCCCGCTAAGTCTTACCGTCTACCAGGGCAGTAGTACACCTTCTCCTTGAAGAGCTGAACGCTGACGTCATTTTATTCATATTTTTCTTAGCAACCCCTTTCATTTGGGGGTACATAAAAAACATAGTCCGCCATCTCTGGGTGTCTACCATATTAGATTTAGAGTGATGTCATTATATTTTCGTATTTTTCAGTAAACTGTTTTATTTGATACCCACAACATGGGTGCGCATATAAAATAAATAATCCGCCACCCTGGGCGGTCCGCCATATTGGATTTAGTATGACGTCACTTGCCACCATGCATTGTCGTCCAAACTAAATATGTATGCAAAATTTTAGCTCAATTGGCTGAAGATAAAGATTTGACCTAAAAAACAAACATAACAAGTTATATCAAAGCTTTTAAAATACGTACATGACTCTACCACTATGAATCTAATTCAATGTTTTAATTGTTTGGACAAAATTTACTGCAAATACATTTTTATTCTAACTGAAAGTTTAATAAAACCTCTGCCCCTTCTTATTTTTTTAAGGATTAATTGGGAAGAAGTAAATAAATAAAAATTATTACATAGTAAGTGTTATTTTTAATATAATATAAAGCCGTGGTAGATTAGGGATACTCAGAAATCGTTAAAAATTTCATAGTACCTACGTGATCAAACTAGTTTGTTCTCCACCGGCAACTAAAAACGTGTATCAATTTAAAAAAAAATCTTTATTTAAAAAGGCTTTTTCATACAAGTGCATGTATTTTAGGAATCAAAATATTTTGAGAACGTGATGTAATGTTAGCCAACACACTTTGTACGTTGAAGTCGGTTAAAACACTGCGGTTCACAATCCGCTCGCCAAGCGTGTCAACTATGGAAAATATCCCCCCCTATGAGGCAATCTATGGGGGAGGACTATGTTTGGCAGTGTACTTTTATATGCTACAATGGATGGATATATACCCTAGTCAATCAGATGGGAGGATGGATAACTTATCGTCAAGGAAGTTCAACAAATTTTTACCCATTTATACCAATATCTTCAAGGCAAACTGTTATTAGTTATTGGATAGTCGAGTTGTGTGCATAAAATAAGAATGTTTCATTTGATAGGTTTTTATTTTTTTAACTTAGTACAACAAAGGCGACAATGCTCTCTTGAAGAACTACAGACCGTTTTCCCTTCTGCGCCGCGTCTACGAGTACGTGATGTTTCCGAGAGTCGCAGTCTCGCACGCAGACTCGACGACTTTCAGTCTCTCTAACAAGCTGGTTTCCGAAAAGGCTTTAGGACCATAGACGACATTTTACATAATTCGGCAAATTGTACAGAAGCCCGAGGAGCACAATTTGCCACTATGTCTGGCGTATTTGGACTATGAGAATGCCTATGATTCCGTTGAAATTTGGGCGGTGCTGCTGTTCTTTCAGGATTGCCAAGTTGACTGTCGGCATATCAAAGTACTGAAGTGTTTGTACGGTAGGGCTACGATGGTTATCCGAGTACAGAATCAGAGTACAAATCCTATCCAACTGCAGGAGGTGTAAGACAGAGTGACGTTATATCCCGAAAATCTTCACCGCTGCGTTGGAAGACGTTTTCAAGCTAATGGACTATAAAGGATACGGTATTAACATCAATGGCGAGTACATCATTAACCTTCAATTTGCCGACGATATAGTCCTTATGGTAGAATTACTGGAGGACCTAAGCACTATGCTCAATACCTCCATAGTGTCTCCCAACGGATAGGTCTTAAGATGAACATGGACAAAACAAATATTATGTTTAATGTCCATGGTAGTTGTTGGGAGCAGTAAGCTCAAAGTTGTTGACGAATATGTTTATCTGGGACAAATAGTCCGAATACGTAAGTCCAACTCGACCGACAGGTCAATCGACGGATTCAACTCGGCTGGGCAGCGTTAGGGAAGTTACGACACATCTTCTCATTAGGTATACCTCGAAACCTGAAAATGAGATTGTACAAGCAGTGCGTGTTGCCAGTGATGACTTATGGATCTGAGACGTGGTCTTTCACTGTTGGCCGTATGAGGACGCTCAAGGTCGCTCAGCAAGCTATGGAGAGGGTTATGCTTGGGGTATCTCTGCGTGATAAACTTAGAAATAAGGATATCCGCAGTAGAATCAGAGTAGCCGACATAGCCCAACGGATTAGTAAGCTGAAATGGTTATGGGCTGGCCATATAGCTCGAAGAACCGACAACTGATGGGGAAAAAGGTTCTCGTGTGGAGCCTTGTACCGGTAGGTGAAGTGTAGGGCGACCCCCCACTAGATGGAGTAACGACCTGGTAAGACATGCAGGAAGTCGATGGATGCAGGTGGCTCAGGAACGTGCTTTGTGGCATTCCTTAGGGGAGGCCTATGTTCAGCAGTTGACTTGTGAAGGGCTTTTAAAAATCAATTTGGTTTCTAAAAATCAATTTGGTTTCACAAGGGATCGCTCGACAACTGATGCCGGCGTTGAGCTGATTAAATATATATTTAATGCATGGGAGAATTCACAGGATGCTATGGATATATTTTGTAACCTATCCAAGGCCTTCGATTGTGTTCACCATGAAACATTAATCAGGAAACTTTAACACTAAGTTGTAAGAAGTGATGCTCTTAAATTAATTATTTCATATTTAAGTAAGAGAACATAAAAAGTTGTCATTAACAGTACGAGCTCTTCCGGGTCGATGGTACAAATGGGCGTGCCTCAAGGCTCAATTCTCGGCCCCTTTCTGTTTCTTATGTACATTATTGACTTACCTTACATAGTAGGGGATAACCATGATATAGTATTATTTGCAGATGACACTTCTTTCATTTTCAAATTAAGTCGACAATTACTAAAATATGACGAATTAAATAATGCTATATCTAAATTAATAAATTGGTTCAATGTTAATAATTTGCATTTAAATGGCACTAAAACGAAATGTATGAAATTCATTACTCACAATGTGAAACAATTAGATACTAATGTGATTTTAAATGAGGAGAAACTGACTCTTGTAGATACCACCATTTTTCTTGGAATCACACTAGACGCGAAGCTTCAATGGAGCCCCCATATATCTAAAGTAACAAGCACACTTAGTTCTGCAGCATATGCTGTAAAAAACATTTGAAGTCTAACTAGTTTTGAAACAGCTAGACTAGTTTACTTTACCTATTTCTATAGCATAATGTCGTATGGTATTTTGCTATGGGGACACGCAGCTCACACTGAAATTACATTTGTTTTACAGAAGAGGACCATAAGAGCAATTTATGATTTAAAGCCTAAAGAGTTGCTGCGACAATAATTTAAGGAAATTAATATATTTACTTTGGCCTCTCAATACATTTATGAAAATGTAATGTACGTACACAAAAATAAAAGTAGTTTTACAAAAATACGTGATATTCATTCTGTAAATACTAGGAACAGACACAAGCTAGTAGTACCAGTTACTCGACTCCATCGAGTCAGTAATTCATTCTTAGGGCGATGTATACGCTTTTACTACAAACTTTCAGAAAATATACAACATTTGACCTGCTCAAAGTTCAAAAACTTTATTAAACTAAGTTTGTATAAGAAGGGTTATTATAATATTAAAGAATTTATAGATGATAATAACCCCTAGAAATGAGGTGATCGCTACCAAGCTATTTCTAATTTGTTGTGTTGTTAATTTGTGTAACATACATGATTGTAAGCTGTTATTTAAAAAAAAGTCGCACTGGGTTTCTTGCTGGTTCTTCCCAGGACAGAGGTTTTTTTTAGAACCAGTGGTAATTAAACAAAAGAGTGACTTTCAATAAGTATTATTTATAATCTATATTGAATAAAATGGTTTCTGTTTCTGTTTCTGCTGTAATGACGATGATGATGATGAACTTATTACGATATGACATGTTAATCAAACTACATTATTTAATGTACTGTCTGAGGGTCTAACACTTTTAGTAAATACATTTTCTCACACACTATAGAAATATAGTGCAATGCGCTCACCCGTTTGTGCGTGTGTGACTATCTTGTGCTTACAATTTTATACATTTATATTTTATTTTTTTAGATTAATGGCTTCTTGAGGAACATGAGTGAAACATATTCGAAATGGTCAGAAGTTATCGTGGGCGGCCAGAGCTATCAGGGCCGCTCGATACTAGGACTGCGGATCAATACACCTGGGAGAAAGGATTCACCTAAGCCGGTCGTCTTTATTGAATCCGGTATCTATACATAATATTCTATGTACTATATGAATTTACGTACAGCAAAGGAGTTGAATAATTTTTTTATTGTAAATCTTTAGCTTCATCACTATTTATTATCAGGTGGGATAGTAGTAAAGCTAGCTCTTACCTTTATACGTTGTATAGGCAAGCCATATAACGCGATGGATCGGCTCGACCGGAGTAGGAACACGCTCTCACAGCTCACACTGCTCTATTACGTATGGTGAGTATAGAGAACCGGAGACCTTTTTCCTTTTTACTAGAAACAAGGAATTCAATCTTAGTCCTCAAGGGAAGCAACGCATCTACATTTTAATTTTTAATCGAGGATAAATGTAGATGTCTATGGGCCACAGCATCCACTGAGTATGAGATGGATTGTGTGTTCGTCGGATAAGGGTGACATTTTTCTATAAGAAACATTGACAATAGATAATTATTTGTGTATATTGAGGTTGTAGCATCTTTATTTTAACTCTGCTAAAGAAAACAAGAATTTATTTATCTGTAGTTACATTATCGCTTGATTTTAAAATAATTAGAGATAATAAGAAAGAAATATTTCTTACTGGCACAGAACAGGAACGAGAACTAATTCTTCAATTTTCATTAATTTCTTGGATTTTAAAAGCCGATAAAAATAATGAAGGTCTTTGTTAAAGTAGCAAGGAAAGTAGTAAATCATAAACTAACCCTGTGTCCATTTGAAAGTTGACAGAATCCGTCAGTCATTTCCAAGCTGAAAAAAATGAAACTTCATTGACTCTTATCAATTAAATACTTTACGGAATTTACTTATATGTGTATTATAATATTATTATTATATATTAACAATGTCCTCCAGACCGGATTTCGGTCACGGTGGCCAGTCTCAACGGATACTACTCACATGCGCAGGAAAAGATTATAGTGCCCGAGTGTATGCGCAAGCACAGGTATACTCTCTTTTCACTCGCTCGCAAAGTCCTTCACAACAGCAAACCAATACGACAAGGTAGAGATCAGGCGCAGGACCAACGGCTTTATGTGATTTCTTCCAACATTCTTACTCCGGGTTGCTACTGAGAAATTCTTGATCGAAAAAATAACTAATGTTTTTGGTCCGACTCGGGATTCAAAAACAGAACCTCATAATCAGTAGTCGTGTCTACCACAACTAGACCATCGAGGCAGTCAGAAGTTACATGATCACTAACAACCGACCAACGTTTACATTTATGCGAGCTGAAAATTTCGGGAATCAAGGAAGTGATTCCCGAAATTTTCAGTTTCATTACTATTTAAAAATGTATTTATTGCTTTTCGAAGTATTCTCCGCGAAATTTGACACATTTTTCCATACGATGGATCAATCATTGAAGCAACCAACCAGCTTCTTCAGATGATGAAAATCTCTGTCCACGCAATTTATTCTTTATTTTAAGGAAAGTATAGAAATCATTATGGCTTAGGTTGGGGCTGTACGGCGGATGTTCTAATAATTCTATGTTTTCTTGCTCTAAAAACTCTTTTGTTCTGTGTGCGGTGTGAGAACTCGCATTGTCGTGATGGAGGATGATGCGGCGGTTGCATTTCTCTTTACGGAGTTCAGAAACGACCTGTGGCAAACAAATGCTAGCATACCATTTTGCATTAGCCATTCATTGTCCCTCAAGAGGAATAGTCGTAACATGGCCGGTTTTGAAGACAAACGTGGCCACCATTTTTTTTGCAACACTTCATGAACGAACAATTTTTGTTGACTTTAACTCATTTTCGAACACCCAAACTCGTGACTGGTTTTTTGTTTCGGGTTCGTACGCGTATATTCAGGATTCGTCACCTGATACGATGTTGTATACAGTATTTGAGGATCCTGCGTGAAATCTTTCGAGAGTTCTGACGCACCAAGTAACGCGAGCCGCTTTTTGCTCTTCACAGAGCGAATGCGATATCCATCGGAAAAACAACTTTTCACACCTAATTGTTCATGCAAGATTATTTGTATTTGACTCATGCCAATGTCTAAAGTTGCCTGAATTTCGCGGTATGTCACATGTCAATCTTCCTCAATCAGCTTACGCACAGCATCAACGTTTTCTTGGGTGACTGCAGTTTTTGGACGACCTTGGAAGGATCATCACTGAGCTTGACACGTCCACGTTGAAATTCAGCTAACCAGCGATAAATTGTGGTTTTGGATGGGGCTTCATCACCAAATGCAGAAATCATCCGGTCAACATACTGTTTTTGTGTTAAACCACTTCGATAGTGATCATAAATCATCGCTCTTCAATTTTCTCGAGTCAATTCCATTTTCTCAACGACTAAACAAGTTTGACAAAACCTTGTGACAAGACCGAGAATCTTTTTTTAAATACTCGTAAATAAATGGTATTCGATTTTTAAAACGAAGGAGTTTTCAATTAAAAAGATTTTAATATGACAGGAACAGTGGAAATATTCCATTCCCGATACTTTTAGTGCAGCCTATGTATAAAGATTAGTTAGATCACTGCATTCGGGTTCTGTTTTTAATAAGGTTAAACTTATTTATTTTCTTTTGTCAGGAATTCATGCCAGAGAATGGATTGCTCCAGCAACAACGACGTACTTTATAAACGAACTTTTAACGAGCAGTGACCCAAACATAACGGCATTGAGGGATCAATTTGACTGGCGCATCTTTCCATCCGTAAATCCTGATGGCTACCACTATAGTTTTACCGTGGTAAACTATCTTGGAAAATTTATGTTATTTTTGTTACTAATTATAATACTTAAGTTTCCTTTTTCATGAAAGAAATTTTTTAGTTAATTTACGATATATATCTTTAAAATCACCATGGCCGAGCCGTGGTACGAGTACGCGAGTAACCCGGGTTCGATCTCCACCAGCACCAAAATATTTTAAAGTGATTTGAAGTCCGCCAAGATGCATGATTGCAGCGTGTCGGACATTTCCTTGCCCCGAACCCTATCTGAAACGAAAGGACGCTTGTGTCTAGCAGTGGGACGTATATAGGATGTAAATTTACTTTCTTTATTTCTTTTAAATTTGTTTTATTCGGTTTGCAGCATTTGCTTTAAAATAAGCAGTTTTTAAATATAATATAGAAGTCTCAAAGACTAAGAGGGTAATAAAATAGCAGCAGCACAGTGCTGGTGAGGGCTATAGAGTTTCTCTGTAAATTCCTCTGCATAATATAATCCGTTACGTTGATTACCAGAGTAATCAACATAGCGTCACGGATCTGTAAGCTGAGGCAGCAAAAACTAACATGTACTAGAGAAGAATGGTTCTAGAATGGCGACCTCGTACCGGTTAGCGGAGTGTAGGACGTCTCTCATCGAAATGAAATGACTGCATGGCAAGATATGCATAGAGTAGATCGATGCGTATGGCTCTGGACGGACAGTCCAGCGTCATACGCATCGGTATTACTTTGTGGTATTACTTGGGAGAGGCCTACATTCAGCAATAGACTTGATGATGTTAGTGCTGCTATATTTTGTATGGTTCGTGACCAGTATCGACCAATAAGGCATTCCATAATTTCTCCTCAGGAATTAAAAGGCATCTGCATTTTGAATCTTAATCCAGAGTAAAAATGTAAGTATTTATGAAACACAGCAAGCAACTTTGTATTTTGTTATCCTTATATATTTTATGTCATTTTAATGTAGCTTACATTTAAAATAAATACAAGTGAAGCACTGTATGTTGCATACACACGGGCGTTGTCTCTGAGAGCGTCACGTCGTCGCAGTGTTATGATTTTGACGCATTGAGAGCCATTCGGCCACACGGGTATCAAAACGAAATGTCTATTACCACGACGACGCAACGCGACATTAGCCTAATGAGGGGGTGCGAACCGCGAACTAATAAGGTCGTGGGTTCGAATCCAACTACTGTCGTAAATCACTCCTAAATTTAAACTTATCAGGATTGACTAAAAAGGAGAGTGTGAGTAATGTTAAGAGCATTGCCTATTTTTGTTAGTAAAATTTAAAAAAAAAACGCAGAGACTCTGTTGACAAATATTTGAGAACTCAACAACCATGCGCTTTAACGCTCCAGCGACGACCCTCTGCTGAGCACCGGACATACAACCCCTGTGTCAAAAGACGCCGTCCCCTGCTCCCTCCGCGATGTCCACCCGCGGCCCCTCTCTGATCTTCTCGGATGCGGAATTAAGCTAAGACATAAAGACCAACTCGAGTGTTCCGCGTAAGTCCGAAGAGAAGGCTTCACCCTCGTCCAGGGCAAAAAATGCAAACTCTTAGCCACAAAAAAGGCAGCCGAGCCTAACTCGGCCCCCTCGTTCCCCACCGCCACTCCGGAAAAAAAGCCCGCCCCCGCGGTGCGCGCTCAAGCCCCTAAGCCTGCGGCAAAGCCCACAGCTTATGGGATCCCTTGCTGAATGTAGGGTCAAGCCGCCTTCTACAATCATAATCCAAGACAAATCAAAATGAGCAACCTATCATACTGGGTGGACTCCAAATAAATCTATTACCCAAAGGTGCAAAACGCCGGTCAGGGCATTTGTACGTTCGTAAATTCAACCGAGGAATTCCGCAGTGTAACAAATCAGAACTAAACCACATTCTCTGACTGTCGCGTTATTTAACGCAAACGGCCTCAGAGACCAAAAGGACGAGATTGCACTCTTACTGAACTACCACGATGTAGACGTAGTGCAAGAGACTTTTTTGAAAGCTAGTCCTAGATTGCAAGCTACACCTTAGTTAGAAATGATAGGTTGACCAGCCGTGCAGGCGGCACCTTGATGCACTATAAAAAGTCCTTGCACTGCGTACCAACCGACCCTCCCCTCCCCCATTAACTAACATAGAATTATCTATATGTAAAGTAATCCTCTCAAGCCATTCGCCACTCACTATAGTTTCGGCATATCTTCAGCCGCTCAAATCTCAAATTGAACCCGAAATCACAGACTTATTTAACCTAAGCTCCAGTGTCATAATAGTCGAAGACCTCAACTGTAAGCATTCTTCCTGGAACTCGCTTACAAATTGCCCAAATAGTAAAACATTGTTCGATCTCTCGGAGCGACTAAACTTCGATGTTATCGCACCTGAGACTCCAATCCGCTACCCATTCGCCACAAGTCAACAACCTGACATCCTTGACGTAGCAATACACAAAGATGTCCGTTTGCCGATAGCGTCGATCGAAACTTTTTCAGAAGTCCACTCGGACCACAGACTAGTCCTATTGCACAGCTGGGCCAGCCCGAAGATGAGGTCCTTCAGACCAAAACCATTATTGAATGGCCTAAGCTCGAGGTCGAACTCGAGTCTACGACCTCCCAGTACTTAGACAAAATCCCTGACAAGAAAGACTCCCGGCGGAGGCCAATGAGGCGATTAGCGACCTATCGGCATACCTCACCTCTACAGTCAAAAAATGCTCTCGTCAGGTTCGTGCGTCCAGCAGTCGGCACATGAAACTCCCAGTGACATTCGACAGCTGATTAACCCCCAATTAAACCCAAGAACATCGTTGAGCACGATCACCTTATACGGCCGCCAGATCCTCTGGCAATCAACGGTCAAATACCTAGGGGTCAATTTTGACCAGGGCATAACTTTTGCGAAACACATTCGCACTGTCCGCAACCGAGTCAAATTTATCGCTAGCCGTCTCGACCCGTTAGTTAACAGCAAGAGCAAACTGTCCTTAAGACACAAACTACACCTCTACAAAACATGCATAAGACCTGTCATGTTATACGCTAGTGTAACTTTCGCCCACGTGTCTCAAACTAATTTGGACAGCCTCCAAGTTGTCCAAAATAGTTTCATTCTAAAAGTCACCGGAGCTCGTTGGTACCAGCGAAACTCCGATCTTCACAGAGATTGACAACTCCCGAAAATCTCGAAATATTTCAAGGAAATGTCTCAGCGTTACTTCGAGAGCGCCGAAACATACCCTAACTAGATTATCGATCGACATTGTGAAAGCCACGTTGCACCAAAATGAATAATTCCACTTAAGCTGTAAAAGACGCATATGCTAACACCATTAACATCACAGAAACTAGACTCTTTTCGCGCGACCTTGTAACCCATTATTTGGCATGCCACTAATAATTATTTAATATTCATCATAATATACATAATATTGCATATACATCATATGTAGAACGATGCAACGCTACCGCTCAGATGATGCAACGCACCGCTAACGTATCGTGTGGTCTAGCTCTAAATTGTATTTTTGCGTACTATGACTACTCAATTCTCATGCCTGATTTTATTAGTCGAGATCACAAATAATTTAAATGATGCTTACCTAAGATTATAATGATGATGCATGATATTATAAGTATTTACATTAGTGGACTGTCATAATCATTTTGTAGTTTACAAAATACTTTCTTTATTTTTAGGATCGGTTTTGGAGAAAAACTGTGTCGGGATTTGGCAGCAGATGTTTTGGTACAGATCCGAATAGAAACTGGAAATACAATTGGGGACGTAAGTCTAATTTGAATTCAGATATTATTATTTTGGTATACTTATATGTTCATTCTCCCTACAAAATTAAACATAAGAACCCATGCTCTCATCATCTCGTCACGTGATGTCTTAAGAGATAACTTAGGGAATTTCCAGAAAAATTTCATGGCCTTCGATAGATAGCGGAATAAGTTATTCTCTTGTATTTGTATCAGATGTAAATTACCAATGCAAGAAGCAGTGTCAAAAGTGCGAAATGTGACAAAATGCTGTGGGAAATCCACCTGTCTAGCATACTAATTACGACAAGGAATCTAGCAATGGACTCCAGCAGTATACTTTTTATGGATTGTTGTGTATGAGGAGTGGTTTGTCTTATATTCTCCACTTTGAATCCAATACCCCATATCATCACGTGGGTGCTTATCAAGCAGGAAATGAGCTGCAGCATCTTTCTGATAAAAACACTAAGATTTCCATCCCGCCTGCTAACCGTGACATCTATGGCGAATATAGGGGATACATAGGCAATCTATGGAAGAGATTTATATTTTACAGTGTATTTTTGATAGCTGTAATAAATGAGTGAATGATTAAATTAATGAGTAAGAGAAAGCAGTGGTCGGATATGGATTCTTGTTTGTGTTTAAATTGTATGTAGACGTTGACATTACTGAACGTGATGTTATTTCTAATGATTTAAATTTTTCAAGAATTTCGAAGGTTGGTTTAAACACATTACCTAATTATGTCCGTCTTGAAAATTAATAATTATCATGTCTTATTAATAAGGGTTTTGGTTAACAAACGAAATCAAATTCCATAATTCGGTATTCAAGTATTTTAAGCCGGTTTAGGCCGGTTTTTGATACATAGCGATATTACGATCTTGATTCCGCTAAACGGCGGGTGTAGCGCCAATAGTGCAAAACTCATAATATTATTTTAATTAATAAGCATTACTTGTAATCTATATATTAATATATAAATAGAATATAATTACACATACTCATGTTCAGCTGTCAAACTTTTATAAGCTAAAGGTAAAGAAGACGCCACCTGCCAATATCGTTAAAAAAAACGTTACCTAAAAGTTTTATCAAACATTTTTGCTATACAATTTTTTTTTTCAGAATATTCGTCATCAAATAATCCTTGTGACAATAAATACGCTGGATCACAACCGTTTTCTGAAATAGAGACCCGTACTTTATCATCATACATTAAGAATATAAGCAACTTACTGGCCTATATCAGTTTCCATTCTAGCGCGGCGATGTTATTAGTCCCCTATTCAGACTCCACTGAACATATTAATAATTACGACGATTTGGTAAGTCTTGTTTCTCTTTACCCAACTACTCTAGAAGGAGGATAATGCTTTCGGAGTGTGTGTATGTCTATTTCTTTGGCACACATTATAGCCTGAACGGATCGATGGATTTTAACAAATGAGATGTCGTAAGATTTAATTTAGATAATAACTAAATGACATGATATTTCAATTTTAACTTAAATTGTAATCTCGGCACTATACTTAATACGGACACCTGCAGCCAGCTTCGAACAAAGAAAGCTACAGATGCGTTGCCACTTTTAAGGACTAACATGTAATTGTTCACAGCACGGCTGGCTTTGTATACTTTTTAGGCACAGTAGTGTAAGCACTGAAATTTGGCGGCAGAAATAAGTAACAAGACGGAAACATATACAACAGCTCATCAGTCGTCCCATCTGCTTGCAGTTTTAAACTTTAATTCCAGTTATATAAAACATCGTGAATATATTAAAGGGTAAAAAGATGTTCCGTCATTTTATTGTCCCTGGGCCTTTGATAATACTATCTATCCCTTTTATTTTCATAAATCTATCCCAAAGACGGGTATGAGCAGATAAAAGTCGACGCGAAAGATTCTAGTATGGGTACTTTAATATAAGTTATTAAGAATAACTCAAAACTATTGGTCTGACCTTGATAAATTAATATGGGACCACACGAGAAGTATCAGCTATCAAATAAAAAAAAGAATCATCGAAATCGGTACACACAGTAATAAGGTATGAGGTAACACACAAAAAAAACATACAGTCGAATTGAGTACCGTCTCCTTTTTGGAAGTCGGCAGAAAATAGTCCAACGCCTCTGTTTCTGTGCGATGCTTTTATTGTTATAAATTTATTAAGGTATTTTTCTGATATAAACATGTTCAACGTTGAGATAAAAATAAATATATATAGATAATATTATTAGATATTAGATTAAAAAAATATTAAATAAAATTAAATATTCTATAGGTTTAGTATAATGACAGGCTCTGAGGTATTCAATCTGACGCTTTAGGCATGACAACGCATCTGTCTGACAAGCCTTCTTTCTTTGAAGTTGGCTGCTGGTATATATGGATTACAGGTGCCACACTACAAAATTTTATTAAAAAAATGTAACAATTCACATACTGTCCATTGGTAGGGAAAGCTCTCATATAAAATTTACACAAAGTTATAGGTCGTGTTAACTTGAATTTAATTTGAAATTGGAATGAAAGTTCAGATTCACCCCTGAGGACTTGATGGAATGCCTCATCGCCAGTAAAAGGGGTTTCCGGTTCTCATCACTCGTTATATGAAAGACAGCATCGTTATGCTGCTATTTTCTTTTTCGTATTCAGCTACATTTAGAAAAGGATTAGGCACTTTTTTTGAAGATCCTTTATTCGTATCGGGTAACCGTTAAAAATTACTAGCGACAGTAAATTACACAGTGCGGTTGTGTGTAGAAAAAAATGTTTTATGATTCACATTTTCGTCCTAGGACTGCTAATCCCGGTTTGAATTTTGGTTTGGGCTAGTATCAGTATCTTTTATTAAGTTTATTTTATCAAGTAGTAATTTTTAGCAACAGCCCGATTTCAGAAAGTTTTAGGTAAGTACGTATAGCCGTTTGATCTGCACCTAAACACTTTCCGGTCGTGTCAGTTTGCCGTGTAATCGGACAATGAGAGTGAGGGAATAGAGAGTGCACATGTCCTTGTGCACGAGTGCACGCACTCGTGCGCTATAATCCTATTCTGTGCAGGCTCCTGGTGTCAACTGGTGTCAACTGGTGAAATCGGCCAGGACGATGAAATTTAAATTTAATTTTATTTTACAGATTCAAGTAGGTAAAACTTCTCTTGATTATGGATATGAAACCAATAAAGAAGAAAGATATAGAGGTCCCGGTACCGCTGCTGAAATATTGTGTAAGAAACAAATAATTTTATATTCAAAACCTGAAAAACCCTGACGACGCTGTTTGGTATGGCAGCGTTGTCAATCCGATAACCAATGATTTATTGTCTATAGAGCATAACTCTGTGATGACAATGCATGGGATGCCACCGCCTGGAGCTGTTAGATCCAAAATACTCTAACTTAATTACTTATACTCATTTCTACCCTTTTAAAGTGGAAAAGTCAATGTTACTGTGCTTAAGAAATACAATAAAGACTGTGATACAAAAAAAACTTCACCTCAATCACGGCTAACTACCTCTGGTGAACGGAAGATTATTAGTCTAAGTTAATTAATGTTTTTTTTTTTAAAATAATTTTAATGTATATTACATTTCACATTGTTGGAATTTAACTATAAACCGGTAATAGAGTAAGCCTACATTCATAAATTTTATAAAAGCGTTGCACGCATTCTATGGAATTCAAGTCAATTTCAATGTCCTTGTTTCTACCACAGCTTTTCTTATTTCCTTCATTCTTCACTCATATGGGTTGAGTCAATAGCTCAACATGGGCCTTTCTCAACTCAAAGAGGATTTGTCTTAGTCGTTACACCTGGCAGGCGGTTTATCATCTCAGTACTAGAAATCCTACATCTTTGAAGCTGCTGCCAGCCAATCTGGTAATTGTACGCTTGGTGCAAAGGAGATAGTTATACTTCTATCTATTGGTAAACACAAGATCTTTGTACAATTTTCTGCCCCGCCACCACACGGCGGTTCATAAAACTGTTCTCGCATTGTTCTATATTTTTTACAGACAAGGCTTCAGGCGGTAGTATGGACTGGGTTCGTTACACATTGGCCACTCCTCTAGTGTACACGTACGAGTTGCGTGGCAACTCCTTCCATTGGCCTCCATCCAGAATATACGAGCAAGGGGATGAAGTTACACAAATGATATTAGGATTAGCTACAGAGGCTCACAAATTGGGATATTATTGAAAACTATTATGAGAATCCAATGATAATTAAATATTACATTTTAATTTGTATATAATAAAAGGGTTTATATATAATATGATATTGGTTTGGAACCCAAATTATTTCCCACCAGAACGATTCCTGCCACACTTGAAATGTGATAAAAATATTTTATCTAAACGTTCAAAGTAAGAATGATTTTATTATAATGACAACATGTATACTATAATGAAGTCAAGTTATATAAATGTAGTCATTATCAACACTGAGGAAATTGACAGTTTTTACAAGACGTATATATATAAACATATTATATATTCTTAACATAAATTATTATCTATACATATAATAAATCTGTAGAAAAGTCTTGTCTGTAATTCTAATATATTCTTGAGAAAACAAGTCCAGGGGACTAAATAAAGGGTTCTGAAGCCAAATTAGTGGTTTTTAGAATTTTTGTCTGTCTGTCTGTATATTCCGGATTTACGTAAAAACTACTGAACCGATTTACATGAAATTCTGTATATAGGTAGTGAGTAACCCGGGGCAACTTATAGACTACTTTTTATCAGATTACGGAACTTCAAAAAAGGTAGGTTATGTATTCAATTTCCTTTAGATGTTAATTTTCTATTATATCTTAGTTATAGGCGAGATGACGGATGTTTTTCATAAAAAACCATATTTGTAAATAAAGTTTAAAATATAGTTATAATCTTGGTAAAATAATTTGAAACTACACCGATTATTAAAAACAGCGCCATCTCTCATCAAATGGAAGAAGTAGTATATTTTGCCTTCAGTTACTAAAAAATGAAAAATAATACAAATAACATACATTTATATGATTCAATGATTAGATTTTTAAAATTATTAAAAATATTCTAACGTTTAGTTTTTTAGTATTTTTGTTATTTTATTTTAAAAGTGTAATAATTTCATTAGATAACAGTGACTTCTATCAAAAATATGAAAATTGTTAAGGTATTTATTTCAATTACTAAAATATATATATATATATATATATGTAAAGTAATTAAAACTGGTCTATCTGCAATTGTTGCAAAATTTTCATTATCATTATAGTTTTATTCAAGAGATTATTATGTATGTCGTGGCCAGATTGGAGAATTGATAATACCTATATCATAAAGTAGTCTATCATTTCGTGAAATGGTGTGGTCATTTCATGATATTTAGCACTATTTGTTGACCATGTCATGATATGGTGTGACCAAATCAATGAATAGAAATCGTTTGAAGATATTAATAACTAAACACAACGTTGCTATTTCATAATATGGTTATATGACAATATCATTAAATCATTTTTCACCGCTAGGGGCGCTGATAGCGTAGTTTTTAACAGAAACAGAACTTTTAAGAGAATTGACATCACTTTATTCCTTATTGATATAATAAATAAATGATAGCTTCTGTTGCTGATATCACTAGAATGTATAGTTTTGGCTTTCATTATTTCATCTAATATAAGAGCCACATAAGTAGGTGGCGCTAAGATTCGATATATATATATATATATATATATATATATATATATATACATTATAAAGTAAGAAAAAAAATTAAGTTAAAGTTTATATATATATACAAACTGATGATAAATTTTGTAACAAAATGCATCCTGCTTAGATATTTGTAGGCCGTACAAATATTTGTTCCGTGCGGGATTCGAACCTGTAGCCCCCAGCGCTGCAATTCTAAGCCATTGCGTCACGGAGCCTTAAAATGTAATAATTTAATTAGAGGTGAAATTATCAAAACTTTTATGTACTTATTTACCACGGCGGTGTAAAAATCCATCGTGGGGAAACTTGAGCAATTGAAATGATTCTCCGAAAATCTGCCAAGTCTCAAAAACAACTCTCCAAACAACATTGAAGCAGCTAGGTGGACTTTTCAGCCCCAAAATCATTCAAAGAAAGAAGGACAATTAAACAATATGTATGTGAATTATTAAAGTTTTCTCTGGGAATGAGATTGCTACAAAACTCTTTCTTGAAAAAGTGATAAGACAACATAACTAGACTAACTGGAGTGAAAACAAAAAAATCAATAATGTTTATTCTGACAACATAATTTGTCGTTATCTCTCGAACACCGCGCATTCGAATCGAAACGTCGATTGACCTCCAATCCTCCTGACAAATTGTCCTAGGTAAACAACTTTTCTTCAACTTTACATACAGGTGTGAATAAGTTGTTACATATGAACTTTGTCTTGTCCTTATTTATTTTAAGACCCATCTGTTCGAATTATAGTGTTGTATTTTTGTTTTGTGCATTATAGTGCTAAGGTCGTCCAGCTCTTCTGCTATAATGTCTATATTATCGGCAAAATGAAAGTGAATTATGTACTCACCATTGATGTTATTACCGTATCCTTTCCAGTTCAAGAGTTTTTAAAACAGCTTTCAATGCAGCGGTAGATAATTTAGGGGATATAACGTCACCCTGTCTTCCTTTTTGCAGTTGTATTGATTTCTTACTCTAACACTAGAGTATTAAATCTATCGAAAGAATATACGAAAGTTCCCGTGCGGGTAAGCAAAGTGTAGGACGATTTCTCAATATACGGAGTGACGATCTGATAAGAGATACAGAAAGTCGATGGTTGCAGGCAGCTCAAGGCTGTACAGCAGTGGACTTGTAATCGGCTACAATGATGACAGTGATGGTGATGCTGATAATGGTGATGAATATTTAATGATTTCTTATAATGATTTCTTATATTTACGCGAACACTACACATTGAATAAAACTACTTTTACGGATTTTATCGCGTTTAATTTACTTATTTTATATTCCCGAACTTTCGGTTGCTTTCCAGCAACCATAGTCACGGGGGACTGAGGTGATTGACGTCCCGATGTCAGAGTTAACCCGGAGTACCTTCAGCTTTTTTAATTATTAATTTTGGTCCGATCTACACAGAATGAACTTACTGTGTCTTGAAGTCTTGCAGTGGTATGCTTGGGTTTAGTTTTAAATTTTTATGAATTACAGAATCCCAAGCAGGTGGTAGTACCCAACCACCCTCTCTATTGAAATTAGGATGTTTTTTAATTTCAATAGCTTCTAGTGTTGGTGCTTTTTTTATAGGATAGGGTGACAAACGAGCACACAGTCCACCTGATGGTAAGTGGATGCTGTGGCCCATAGACATCTACATTTATCCTCGTTTGCGAATCAAAATGCAAATGCGTAGTCACACGTGAGGACTAAGATAGAATGCCTCTTTTTCAGTAAAAAGGGTCTCCGGTTCTCTACACTCACCATACGAAACACAGCAGCAAGCTGCTATTTGACGCTGGTATTCTGTGAGAGCGTGGTCCTTCCCCGGTCGAGCAGACCCATTCGTGCTACAACTATACTACTAATATAGCTGCAGCATGGCTCTACCACGTAAAAAACACATGTGCTTCACGTAACACATGTGTTCACATAGCTGATGTGAAGCACCAACGTTCCGGGAAGTCTGCAGTTTGTGATCATATCCTAGACGGCCCCCGCCATTACATTAGATTTGATAAACCACAAATTCTCGCGAAAGAACATCGATTCCTACCAAGGATGATACGTGAGGCTATTGAAATTAAAAAACATCCTAATTTCAATAGAGACGGAGGCTGGGTTTATTGGAATAATCTATGTTCTATTCTATTCTACACTTTTTATTGTATTCGTACTGGGAAATAACTACAATACTTTAAAACAAAAACACTACATTAAAACAAAATTAAAAAAAAAAAAACTGATGTAGTATGTTGACGGCTCCGTGGCGCAGTGGCTCAGCAATCAGTTGTTGCGCTGGGGGCCGCGGGTTAGAATCCCGCACGGAACAATTATTTGTATGGCCTACAAATAATATTTCCGGGTCTGGATGTTTGTCCTTGTGCAATTAATGTTTGTAAACTGCCTCCACGACACAGGAGAAAATCCTAGTGCGGGGGTAACGTGTTTTAAAAAAACACTAAAAAAAATTACGTCAATCATAAAATGTGAAATATATGAGAATATTAAATTTAGCCGAATAAACTCAAAATGAAGTACATAGTACATAACGAACGGAATTTATATATCAAAAATATATTGTCTAATTTTTTGTTCACGCTCAAAGGAAAATATTTCCGGGAATAAGCAACCTAACAATAATAAAAGGGACTTGGGAGATATTCATATTCATTATCTTTCTCTCAAGATAAATATTATGTCCTAGAGTTCCACAGCGTGCTAAGAGAAAGAAAATAAATTTTCATATTTAAAAAAGTTATGATTGACATAATTTAAAGGAAATTCCATTAGAAAGTATTTTTTTTTCATTTCCTCTCTTTTTCTTTTTTGTGCCGTATAGAGGAGGCGTGATAGAATGTACTATTCCCAACAAACTTTAAAAATAACCCTTTGTCGTACCGTGGGTGTCGTAAGAGCGAAATGAAACAAGACTTGGGCAGCAGCATCTTCCTCATAAAATCAGAATAATTATTTAAAAAAAAAAACTGCGGTTACCCACTCGTCTGCCAATCACTTTTTGCAAGCTGTAATTAATAAATTAATCATATTGTCTGTTTAATTATTTATAAAGAGTTCGTAAAATTTAAAATTGCACGCGCCTCCCTTACCTATTAGTTATATTTAATTATGTCAAATATAGTAAAACTGCTAAAATCTACTTAAACACAATGGAAATGGCGCGCAGATCTAGATTTTATATGATTAATACGATAAATGTGGCAAAATGCATTAAAACTGGAAATATTGATGCAGATGATGGCAATATTTAGAGACCTTTGTGGTTTGTAGATGATATTTTACTTGTTTTTGTATTCAACTTTAAATGATAAATAAATGTAAAAAATTTCGTTTTAAATTAGACGATATCGTAAAATTTCTTTGACTAGATAAAGTTAAGTTTTTATCATTTTAATTTTGTATTAATGCCATAAATAAACCAAGCAAATTAACAAAGATAAATAGTCAGTCAGTATTTCTAAATTGCT